GGACAGATGTTGGGTGTGTGGTCCTGTGTTTTCTTGGTGTATATTTAATATACTTCTAATCGCTATTTTAATCTTTCTATCTTTCTAATTATTTCTCTCTCTGTTTTTCTCTCTGTCTCTACTTTCGAAAAAAAAGTGCAGCATAATGGCATTTCACCATGACGCTCCACTATGTTGAAACCTTTATTATAAAATCTTTTGGGATTAATTCGGTATAACGGACACCGAGTCGGAAAAAGTAAACCAAGAAAAGAAAACGGAGAAAAGTGAAAGGGAGATAAGAAGATATGAGAGATGCATTAAGAAAACACAAGACAACACATCTGAAGTCTGCCTCCACACCTGCAGCAAGAGAGAAAACACAGCAACAAAATACATGTGTGTATAATAATAATAATAATAATAATAATAGCCTCACTGAAAAGTACTTAGTTTAGTAAATCCTAACAGGTGCTGTTATGAGTTGGTGTTTATATATGAAGTGACGAAGTTTTCTAAAGTTTGACTCAAACAACGACTCAGCATAAAATGATCTTAGTGTTAAACTCCAGTTTGAAAGGTGGTGGGATAGGACCGTTCGGCCTTTAATGACAAACCTGACTAACCCTCAGTTCTCTGCACCTAAATGTCTGCTCAAAGCCAGACCTCACGAGGAGCAAAGCTCAGCCAGAATCAACACGACCAACGCTTCGTTTTGTTCACTTAGCAGATTTTCCAGGAGGGGAAACTTTGGTTTGGTGTGGCCTCGGTTTGGTCCTGCAGGTGTTTCTGTGTGGCAGAGTCTGAGCAGCTGCAGGAACTCTAAATCAGAACCACACATTCAGTCCACGTGAAGCCCGCAGCAGCTGTGTGAACTCTTCAGTCCAGCTCAGTTCAGTCTTATCAGTTATTTACCAGAATAAAGCTTAACTTTTAGTTTTAGGAGCCTTTCTTAAACATTTGTTACAAATTAACCTCAGAGTTCTGTCATTAGCAGCTCTGCCGATTATAGATTAAAAGGTCTTCAATGTTTCTGAGCTACAACTTTACTAAATTTAATATGACATGATATTCATATAGTTTTTGTCAATTTTGCTATTTTACAACTACTTTTGTAAGAGTTGGGACGTTGTGAAAATTGCAAATTGAACCAGAACTTGTTCATTTGAACCGTTTTATTTTATTCATAATGAAACACAGTAAACATAAAAGGTTTATCATAATACATTGAAACCATTTAGAAAAAAACAGAATAATTTGAAAGTAATTAGCAGCAACACATCTGTTTAATGTTGTTTCCCTCTGTGAAGCATCTGCTCTTCTTTTAAAGTGCCTGTGACATCAATTTTTGTAATACATATGAATGCATTTTTAGAAATATTATATAATATTATATATATAATTTGATAAAAGAAATTTCTTGTCGCTGAGATGAAAAATTGTTGAGATATTTCCTTGTGAAGTAACAGGAAGTGATGTCAAAGGGGAATGTCTGCATGTGAACAGAGCAGTGCTACATCACAGACTGTAGAGAAGAATTTGATGTTTCTTAAGATAATTTTGAGTCACTGTCAGAGAGATGAAGAGTCAGAGTTCAAATAATATTGTTTCAATAAACAAAGACCAGAGAGTTTTCTTTGTTAAAGAGTTCCCCTTTGATGTCACTTCCTGTTTCATTT